TAGCTTTTATATTAAGAATTGGAGGTAGTATTTCATATTTAGTACTTGATGATTGTTCGAAAGAGGCTAACAATGGTCATCCCTCGATGGATAAGCTTCTGCTTTTGTTTGAGTCCTTAATCTTGAATTTCTTGTTTTTTTTCCAATTTATGTTGGTTGTTCTATTTTTCTTAAGTTCTTTTTAATTGTCATTGAGCTTTTATGTTTTCTTTGACGATTTTATAGTGTATAAGAGCCCAATTATATATCTTTTTTTAAAAAATAAAATTGTCTTTATTCAAAAGAAAAATTCTGAAAAAAACTACTGAATTTTAAAATTTTAAATCAGTATTGTTTGCTAATAACAATTGACTACACTTTAAAACCAAATGATAACACTTTTTTTAGTAATTACTGACTTGAGATTTTAAAATTTAGAAGTATGTTTTTAATTTTTTTTGTTAAAAGTATTACAAGCATTACTCTTCTTCGTCTCCTCCAATCTCCTTTCTTGTTTCCTCTTCCATGCCTCTTCTCGTCTTTGTCTAGGTTGCCCCTAGTGTAGGTCCTCTTTGTTCAGGTCGCCTCTGTCGTGATTTTTTTTTTTTTAAATTTTGAATTTCATATTAATTCCACATGTATTTGACTCGGCAATCACAATGACACATTATCATTTGTGGCAAACTTCACATAAGAAACGGTGGATTAGGTTAATATAAAATTTTAAACTTAAATTATAATTTGAACAATTAAACCAGAAAATTAGAGATATCATCGGAAGTTTTGGAAGATAAGAAAAGCAGCACACCCATGATTTATATTAGTTTGATTTTATTAATCACGTGACCCACGTTTAATTCCTAAAACATTTTTGAAAGTTCTACTATCTTTTTCAAGATTTATTGGATTCTCATACCTTAATACATCAACCATAGGCTAACTACATCTTTATAAGCTCTCTCTTACAATTTGTAAGAGCATACCCAATCCTCTCAAGATTCCCATTATCTTATGAGTCATTCACATGTGTAATAAATAACATCGACAAATGAACTCTCTCAAAGAATTGAATGAAGATTTTTTTTTTTTTTGATACAAAGGAAAGAGAAAAAACTCAACGCTGGTAAACTAAATAAAACTAAATAAAAACCAGGGAGTGGCATCCTGCTTACGTTATCCCACTCTCCAGGAGAAGTCTTGCCGTCGTATCTCCCGAAATGATTTGTAGGCCTATGCCCATAGAGAGAGAGCGCTTTGCAAAGAAGTCGGCCTTGTTGTTCTCATCCTGTTGAATTGGAATCAGCTGCATATCCCAATGTCTTCTTATCAAGTCTTGTAAATCCCGAATGAGGCTATGATCCTTGTGCATTACACCGTCATCGGATTCTACTAGCTTGCAAACTTCCAGTGCGTCCGTACAGAGAGATAGCTTTCGAATCCCCACGTCCCATGCACGACGAAGGCCCGTGATACACCCCCACAGCTCCGCAGTGAGGCTGTCCCCATCTGCCAGACGAAGCATGAATGCCTCTACGATCTTACCATCAGGGCTTTTGATAATTCCCCCACAACCAACACGTTGAGAAGCGAAGGAGAATGCCCCGTCAACTAGAGCGACAAAACGGTCACGTTCTCTGGGTTCTGTTCTGTCTAGTTCCGGGCTCGGTTGTTTAATGATCTTGCTTTTATGAGAAAGGATCTGCACCGCCTTACCCATGCAACGTAGGATCCCATTAACTTCCGCGATGCATGCCGGGGCGCTTGTGTTGGTATCCTGATGTACCCTTTCGTTCCGTTTTTTCCAGAGCACCCAGCAAAGGATCCCAAATCTCGCATCCCAGCGGCCTTGCTGGTCTTTTTGTTGACTGTACAGATTATAGTGGATCCATTCTTTCAGCTCCTGTTGCCAAAAACTTTTATCTGTTCTGGGGATACCCAAGGCCTCCCAAGTTGCACTAGCTAGATCGCAGTCACGAAGTATATGTATGATGTCCTCCTTCTTCCCAGAGCACCATTTGCAGGTCCCATCCTGATGCAATCCTCGTCGAAATTTCTCTTCATTCGTGAATAGTCTATCATGCAGGATTAACCACAACGTCGTCTTGCACCGTTGTGGAATCCGTAGTCTCCAAATTCTTGCCCACTCAGGGCTCTGTCGATTCTGCTCCTTCGCAACTAGTTGGTAGGCTGATTTTACTGAAAACACTCCACTCTTTTCATGTTTCCACCGAACCTGAGACACCCCATTCCTCTGCACCATCTCTGCACCCTGTTTGACTAAGTCCCACGTAGCTTTAATTCTACTCCAAGCCCTAGAGCCCTTTCTGTTCATGTCGATGGTGGGAAGGGTGTCATTACCACAACGGTATTTGCCTCTCATCACGTTGACCCAGAGTGCATTTCGGTTTGTTATAAGACCCCAACCAACCTTCATGAGGAATGCCCTGTTTTGGAGACTGGCGTGTCTAATACCAAGGCCTCCGTGCCCTTTCTCTAAGCAGACCCGGTCCCAAGAGACGAGGTGCGCTTTTCTTTTATCCGTAGTTGAGCCCCAAAGGAAGTCTCAAGAGCAACGGTCTATATCATCACAGCAGCTTGTGGGCAGTAACGCCGTTTGCATGACATGGTTCGGTATTGCCGAGGCCACACTTTTGATCAACGTGTTCCTTCCTGCCAATGAGAGTGTGTGTATCTTCCAACTACTAAGTCTCATGCGGACCTTGTCAATAACGTACTGATAAGTATTTTTAGTTACTTGATCATGATGTAGGGGCACACCAAGGTATTTTCCCAAGTCCGCAGCCGGAGTAAAACCCAGTTCGTTACTCAATTGTGTTCTTCTATTGTGGTTCACATTGTGGGAAAAGAAGACCCTTGTCTTAGCGTTGTTCACACGCTGGCCAGAGGCTACACAGAAAGCATCTAAACACTGCTTGATTACCAAAACTTGGGAGAGGGTTGCTTCAGAAAAGATGATTAAATCATCTGCAAAGAATAGATGGGTTATTGGGGGGCCATCTTTGTTCAATCTAATCGGGTTCCAACACCCTCTCTGTACTTGTTCCTGGATTAGGTGGGCCAACCTTTCCATGCATATCACGAAGAGGTAGGGTGAGAGTGGGTCCCCTTGCCGCAACCCTCTAGTTGGAGTAAACGAATCTGCCTTGCTGCCATTCCAGAGAATTTGCATAGATGGAGTGGTAAGGCACGCCTCTACTAGCCGTATAAACTTTTCTGGAATACTAAGGTCCGTGAGACATTTAATGATGAAGCTCCACCGCACTCTATCATATGCTTTTTCAAGATCAATTTTGATCCCCATGAAGCCTTTTCTGCCTTTCATGTTTCTCATGGAGTGGACCACTTCCTGCGCCACTAAAATATTGTCAGAGCTAAGTCTACCAGGAACAAAGCTACACTGGTTGGGAGCTATGATGCTTGGTAGGTAGTGTTTGAGTCGGTTCGCAAGGATTTTTGTGACCGCCTTATAAATTACATTACACAAACTTATGGGTCGAAAGTCTCTCAAATGCTCCGGTTGGTCTTTCTTTGGTATGAGAACAATCAACGTTTGATTGACTTCCTTCACTGCTTGGGGACAAGAGAAAATGTTGGTGAGAAAATCAGTGACCGTGTGACTAACATGAGGCCATTGGCTTTGGTAAAACAAAGCATTAAGTCCGTCTGGGCCTAGAGACTTTAAAGCTCCCATATTCATGATGGCATTCTCCACCTCCTCCTTCGAAACATTTTCCCCCAAGCGGCGCAAATTTTGTGGGTCAATGGGAGGGAAAGATACTTCATAAGGGAGAGAGTTTTGATGATGCGTCTCCTCTTGAAATAGTGTGATAAAATATTGGGTAGCCATATCCTTGATGGTACCGTCATCATAGATCCACTCTCCCTCAACATTCTGGATAGCTTCTATGCTATTTCTTTTCCTTCGTGCATTTGCTCTTAAGTGGAAATATCGAGAGTTTTTATCACCTAGATAGAACCATTCACATTTTGCCTTTTGTGCCCAAATGAGTTCCTCCTGGAGAATTATGTCCTCAAGTTCACCCCAAAGCTGTTGTTGTAGTTGCACCAGAGACGAGAAGGACCCATCCTCTTGAAGCACTCGGTTAATACCATCAAGCCGCTGCATAAGCTTACGTTTCTGTCTTCCCACATGTCCGTAAACCTCATAACTCCAAACTTTCACTTGCCTCGTGAACTGCTCTACATTTTCTTTCCAAGACCTGTCTTTGATCCAGGTTGTGGCTACAAACCTGTCAAAGTCATCATGCATTACCCAGGAAGAGAGAAAGCGGAAAGGTCGTTGGGTGACGGCAACGTCGCATTTCTCATGCATTTGTAGTAGAATAGGGTGGTGATCTGACTTGAAATGATAGAGCACTTTTGCTGACGCAAAAGGAAATTGGTCAACGAAAGCCGAGTTAGTGAGTATTCTATCCAACTTACTAGCACAACCCTCGCGTCTCCAAGTAAAGAACGGTCCCGCACTCTTCAGCTCTGTAAGCTCCATGCCAATGAACCAGTTGAGGAAGTCCTTATCAATACCTTGAGGAGAGCGAGCAGCGGATCTCCTCTCGTGACTATATAAGGTAGCATTGAAATCCCCCCCTATGTACCATGTACCGTCAATAGTGGATTTTAGACAGGATAACTTTTCCCACAACCTTCGTCATTTTCCCGCATTAGTACTTGCATAAACGCAAGTGACAAAGTAGTTGGTAGCTCCTTGACCCATCACAAGGTGTATGAGCTGATCATCAGAATCTAATATCTTGACGTTCCAATTCGTGTCATTCCAGAGTACCCATAGTCCACCACTACGTCCATTCGCATCAACAATGTGGGAATTGTTGAAACCAAGCTTCCTCGCTATGCTTCGCGCTTTATTTCCACTTGACCGAGTCTCCAAGAGTGCTAACAAGTCAATTTTATAGGTTCGACAAAGTTCCCGAACCAGGCCTGGGAAAGACTTCGCCCCAGACCCTCTGCAATTCCAGAATAGGCTATTCATGGGAAACCACGTTCAAGTGGGGTTGGCTTTTAGGGCCGTTGACATTGGTTAATTCAAGATCCACCATCTTAGTTGTTATGCTTCCATTTGTGCTCCCATCCTTCAGTGCGTTTAATACAGATAGCGCGTTATCGTTGTTCAACATGGGCTCATCAATTTGATCATGGTTCTCGTCCGCATCCTGGCCCACCAGAGCTTCGAAGGGGTTGCTGGACATAAGAAACCTACTAGAGGGCTTCACAGGATTGCTTAAGTCTGCCCGAAGGTGCGTGGTCCTTGGTGAGATATTTTCCTTCTCTTTCTGGCCTAACTGCCCCTTAATCCTCCTATTGTGAGTAACTGGGACCCACTTTCTATTATTTGTGGTATCTCTTCCTACCTTTCGGGAATCAGATGTGGTGCCATGCACAAATCGTGCCGTCAATATTTCCTCACTATCAGCTGACTCATTGATCATACGTGATTCCCGCGCGCCTTTCCCGTGTGATTGCCATTGCGAGGATCTCGCTGATCTAGTTTCCTTGTGCCCCAAGATTTTCGTGGTTGCTTGTCTCCGCCGTGCTGGTCGTTTGACCAAGTTCCAGGCCCCCAGGACCTCCTTACCCGGTTGTTCGTTGTCCCTGGAACGATTTTCTGACCCCTCCGTGGTACTAATACGCTTCTGCGAATCTTTTGAGGGAGCAACATCATCCACTTGACACTTCATGCTAGTAGGTCCCCCCTCTTGTGAGCTGGTACTTCTCGATGGCTCATCCTTATCTGCCTCCTTACTCTCCCCCCTTGTCGCCTGCCCCTCAAGACACTGATCACGGTGGTGGCCATACTTACCGCAGTGGAAACATATTAAATGGAGGCCCTCATATTCCATGACTCGTTGATTACCGAAAATTTTGATTGCAGCCTTGAGTCTCTTTTTCAGGTCTAGCTCGATGCAGATACGGGCATAACGCCCTCGAGCCGTCAAGTATGTGATCGAGTCGACCTTCAGAGTTCTGCCCAATAGACGACCGATCTTCTCCAAACTTTCTGAGTTGAAGAACTCTAGCGGCAATAAAGGAATTCTCACCCAAGCTGCTATCTTGCTCTGGCTTTCTGCACTCCACGGATCGAAATTGGGTCTCCAGCGTTGGACAAGCAGGTAATGGTCTGCCACCATCCAAGGTCCATCAAAGTAGACATGTTGCAAGTCCTTATCGTTGGCGAAGGAGACGACAAAATAGCCATTGTCAATATCTCTTGTCTCAAAGGGCTCTGTTGTCTTCCACAGTCGCTGCAAACTCGTCTTTATGCCCCATAAGGGGATGTCCTTTCCTAGTATCTTGATTATAAGTAATCTCCTCCACGGTGCACACCACCTCTCATATTCTTCTCTAGTCACCACCAGTGTGGGGATGAGTTCCTCAGTATCATCCTTCACCGTTTCTGAGTCCTCCGCCAGCGAGTTTTGACTATTCCCATCGCCAAAGAAACTTTTCAGACTATCGATGTACTCCCCCCATGCGCCATCAAACACGTTGCTGCCTCGCCCGTCTATGGAGCAGGCCTTCGGTTCAGCGTCCAGGAGTTTTTCTTTGTAAGAAGTCTCCTTCCAGGTTACGCCCAAGGCATCCCCGGTCTCCTTCTCCGTCGTGGACACACTCTTGTACTTCTTTTTGTTCCGATCACGCCCATCGCTCTCATCCGAACCTCCTCCCTCTGCCGCGCGCTCACCACTCACACGCTCCCCACTCATCGCTTTGAGAATATTTTATTAATAATTGAATGAAGATAATTATTAGAGAAGAGAGAATATGTCAATATGAGCTTTTAATTAAACGTACATCATTAAAGAAGATAATTTTAAACATTCGTGCCTGCCAACCATTTCTTAATTATTTTGTTGTTTCAAAGATTAAAAATGATTAGGTTTAGCAAATTCCTCAGTTACCCTTCCTTCCTTCTTTCTCTCCATGCACAACCTTAATACCTGGCTGCTTTTCTCCTCTTTTTTTCAGACTCTCTGCATTCTTTCTTTGTTCCATCATAGATTTCCTCACTTTCTCCATAAATTGACTACCTTTATTCAGGAACTACCATTGAAGCGCGTCATCAATCCCTCCCCATTTTGTTTCTAGATACTGAAGATTGTAGTAGATAGATAAAATCGCACCAGAGAATGAGGCACTCTCAAAACCTATGACTTCGTGGCTCTGTCTCTTCTCAAATGTTGATAATATGGCATTTTTCCCCCCTCTCATTCTTACTCTTCTACTAATATGGCATCCTCCATCACCCTGTAGAATATAAGCCTCTGAATTGTTTTCCGTACATTCCTTTTTGATGGATCTAGGTTGATTTTGTAGTTTTAAGCTAATATCACAGGGACCTTTCTTACTTGATTTGAAAAAGAACAGAGATTTACATGAGAACAAAAGAAAAGTTTCAATTTTTACAGAGTGATGAAGGTTGAGCTACGATTCAATGGCACTAGACCAAAGGAAGAGAGATGGGATGGAGAGAAGAAAAGAAAGGCAAGGCTCTTTGAGGAACTTACTAACAACCTAATCATTTTTAGTTTTTAAAAGAAAAAAATAATAAAGAATAGTGGGCTGACGTATAAATTTAAAATTATTTGAGTTGGTGCATTCTAATTAGCCAGAATATAGATAAGTTGGTACTCTGAGAGTACCTAAATATTTCTCGTCTGTCTCACCATCTGTTATGCTCAATAATATTCTCTCCACCATCCAAATGTTAAATTGCATTAAATGCACAAAAGGCAACTTTGACGGGTATCCACTATAATCAATCCACTGCTTCTTGCATTATAAAATTTGTTTGCTTTAGGTATTATAATACATTTAGAACGAAGTTTCAAAGGATTTGAACATGGGTAAAAACATTTGAAATCATTTCAAAAAATTCGAGACTTTTTGTAACACAGGATCGTAACTCGAGTTGATGACTCAAGCTGTCCATGATATCCAACTTAACTCGAGGTTAGAAAAAATCATACCACCTCCTGTTCCTATTCTAATATAAGAACTAATTAACTATTTTGAGTATATTAAAAAAAGCCAGTTAAGTTAGTTATTTATAATAAATAAGTATTGTCTTTCTTAAAATACCTTTGCTAATCATGAATATTAGTTAAAACTACCATTTGATGAAACATTTAACATGTGTAACTACTATAAGAACTATATTTTAAAACAAAAGAACAAATATGAAAATTAAAGTGGATTGAAATTTTATATTTATGATCAAGATTAAATATAAAACTAATTTATATATTAAGGATTATAAAGGTTACTTCACTAACTTTCAGTTACTGGAAGTTATCAAAATTCGAGAGACATAAATTGAGCACTTGAGGTAACACAAAAAACGTGACTTGAGGTTATGAGAAATGAGTTTAGCGATGAAAACCCAACTTGATATACAAAACAAGAATGCAAGTTGTTTTCAAGGAGGTGACTGATATAAAGCATAACTTGATTTACTGGGGATTTTTACCAAAATGCTATGAACAGTGAAATAAAATACCAAAATGCTACAGCGTGGGAAGATATTACCGAAATGCCACACTTGAAATTCATCACCAGGAAATGAATTTATAAACTTCATCTTACCCTAATCGACTTCTTCAATAAACTGAGACATTTACAAATTCATTTGGTGGAGATGAATTTTAAAAGTTCATCTGGTGGAGGTGAATTTTAGAAGTTCATCTTTGACAGATGAATTTTAGAGCCCCTAGGCCACTTTTGTCCTCTTTTGCCTCCATTCCGTACAAATATCTGAATATTTTTTTAAAATTAAAAAGAAATTTTCAAAATGATACATTCTTCCCAAGACTGATAACACATTTTAAAAAAAACATTTTCTGCCTTACCCATATGTCTCAATCATCCTTCCCAATAATGCAAGCTTTTTTACTGTTGACCTATAAACAGTAAAATTTTTTTATCAAAACGCTATACTTTAAAAAGATTTACTAAAATATTATATTCGAAATTCATCTTCAAGTGAAAATTTTCCAAAATTCATCCACAAAAGAATAATTTGCTTGATATCTTTCATCATACTTGCAATGGAAGTTCATCTTCTAGAAATCAATATCAAAAATTCATCTTTTAAGGAACAATTTCAAATTTCACTATAATGAGTAAACAATTATTGGAATGAAAAATCATAATTATTAATTAGAGGATATTATATAATATTAATAATACTAATAATGATTATGAAATTAGGATGAACTAATAAGATGTATCAATTTAAAATAAAAAAGTAATGAATAGATTTTGTAAAAAATAATTAATAACAAATAATAGTTAAGTTTACATGAATGAAAAATAATAATAATCTACCTTACAAAAGGTGACTTCCGGTACCACACCTTGTTCTCCTTCGCATGCGTTGTGGCCATTATTTGCTGCATGTTGGCTTCTTAAGATTGAAGTGTCTCATTTGTTTGTGTATTTCAGTAGTTGGCATGTTCAAATCAAACCAAGGCGACTCATTCAAATGTATGAACTATCAATGGGTGACAAATGCTTCATTTGATGGTCCACCATGCTCAAAAGTAGAAGCATTATATTCAACAGAAAATACTAATAGATTATCTAATAAGGTCATGAACGATTGAAATTGAGAAAGATTGGCTGAGTCAAAAGGAGACGGTGATGAGGGTGTCATGTAATGAGGCTCAAATTGTGTATGACTGAGAGAGATAAAAGGGGATGATGGTGAGGCTGACATGTGATCAGCTTGACTAAAAATTGGAGGCTCCTGTTCCCTGATGTTTTCATCTTCAATTATAGGTTGTGTTGATAAGTAACCCCCACATCGCTTGCTCGGTCTATCTCGAGGAATTTGTGGGAGAGACAACTCAATTGTTGGTGGATCAGGTTGGGGATTCATATTAAAACGTTGTTCTCTAAGAGTAAGCAAAATGCTGTGTTGGTCTTGAGCAACCCTATCTTGATAATCAATGCAATTAGGACATGTTGAACGAGAATTTATGGATAGCCTATATAACTCCTCCACTATGTCAGACTGAAATAAATAATAAGATATCGGGTTATAACACTTTTAGTATGAGGAAAAAATAGTATTGGTGAAAAAAAGAAGAAAAACATACCGCGTAACCTGTATCACCACTAATTCGTTGGATCCATCGCCTCGTATGTCTCCAATACCATTGCATATATTGAGATGTTCGATCAAGTTTATCAAGTGCCATAGGAGCATTAATAACTGCATGTGGCCATCCATCCCATGCTTGAATAAAGTCTGAGTATTTTTCAATCCAATTTGTAGTTGTTCTGCCTCGTAATTGCATTGTGCAATAGTTTCACAAATGAATAGGCATGGCAGGAATTGGTTGCTGACGACTGAATTACCTTAATACACGATCAGAGTGATGCCATTCTATAATGTTAAAACATATCAGAGGAACTGAGGCACGCCAAATTTCGGGTGTAGTCAAACAATAATCTGGAATTAATTGGCGCACTTCAGTAGATTCATATGGCTGCTAAATTATCTCGTCGTCAACTATTTTATCCAGGAAACTCCTATATCGGAGTAAAGAGACGGTAAGTGGACGGGCATTCTGTCTCACATTCTTTCACCTGTTATTACAAAAAGTAATGTTAAAAATCTTATAATTTAAATAATATAAGTGCATATCAAATAGTTGTTAAGTGAATTTTACATACCTAAAACCCAATGGAGGTAAGAAAGGATAGATATTAGAGTGCGAATCTGGATACACAAGTCGTTGTGGTGCTAGCATGGGGAAGCAATCCTATGCCAATAAATGCAGCAGTGATAAGCATCCTCCAATCCCATCCTCATTTGAATTAGTAGCATTACATAATTCTCTATAAAGGTGAGCTAAAACTGCCGATCACCAACTATACTTTCCAACTTCTTACAGATCATAGAGTAGTGGGAGGTACATTAAATATACTCTTTGACCCGATCTGTCTGGTAAGAGGTAGCCGCCAATTAACCTGAGGATATACGCATGAGTAAATTGTTGAACTTGTAAATCATCTGCATCATTGGGTAAGTCATTAAATTTCTCTTCCAACCAACTTATAAGTAGTTGTTGCTCATGTAGTCTATCTGCAGATGGTCTAACGCCTAGAAGCCATTCACAAATGTCTAGCCAATTATAGTCAGTACGCCCAATGACAACCATTCCTATGCATGGAAGGCTTAATTATATAGCTACATCCTCTAATGTTATGGTACACTCTCCACGTGTAGTGTGAAATGTATGAGTTTCAGGACACGACCTCTCAACAAGTGCTAAGACCAAAGCTCAATCGTATTTAAATTGTCCTACTCTAGTAGCGCCATAAAATCCTATTAATATAAGATATTCAATAATTTGATTGGGTGGGTCAATCATTCTATTAGTGTGCATCACTCGTCTAGTATGTCGGATTCTATTAACCTACCATAGAAAGAAAAGGAAAAAGGTTAGTATCGAAGCATAAAATTTATAATCTATAGTAAATAGATTTTACTTACATTATCATTCCACACACGTTCTGAAATATGTTGAGGTTGTAAGTACAAAAGAGAGTTATCCTCTGGGCCAGGGTTGATAATCTTTTCTAGAGATTGTGCCATTTTAAAACGTCTCTGTATAAATTAAAGAAAAATTTACAAATAACATAATAGATAATCAAAGTAATTATAGTCCAATCTTCACAAAACATAATAATTTATTAC